TGGGACTGACGCCTGGATTTTGGCAAATTTGCATCCCAATACATCCCCTTTTTTTCAGTGAACATTCATTTCAGTCTGTGATTTTTTTTGGTATCAGTGAATAACCAGTTAAAAAAAGTCAATCAATAGACACGTAACCTCAAAATATTTTTTTACCAGATGCCGCTTGAAAGAATCAATGACGAGATAATCCGATAAATTTAGCGATGAGTGCATCCATTTGAATATCTGGATTTGCACCTTCACTCAGCCTGAAATCAGTTTCACCAATTGCATCAATAAAATCAGCCTTCAGCGTGCGGTCAAGAGTCGTGGCAGTCGATATCGTACGATAAAACTGATTCAGCAGTTCATTCGGAGAAATACCCTTATCATACATCAGTCGCGACAGCATACGAATTGCCGTCTCGAAATCTCCCTCCAAAACCACCTGTACCAGTTCGGTGATAAGCAGTGGTATCAACGCAGAGTACTCCGCATAGACATTTGCCGCCGTTACGGTATGAGAGACAATAGCCGCACCCTGCAGTGCATTTATCGCTTTTCTCATATCACCCTGAGCAACATAATATACGGCAGAATAGGCATCGTCTTCTATTTGTATCCCTTCATGTACCGCAATACGATTTATCTGTTCATGTACAGCTTCTTCCGTCAGCGGTTTAAAACGATAGATTGCACATCGGCTCTGAATCGGATCAATGATTTTTGATGAATAGTTGCATGAAAGGATAAAACGGCAGGTTTCAGCATAGTTTTCCATTGTACGGCGTAATGCCGCCTGTGCATCATTGGTTAATGCATCAGCTTCATCAAGAAACAGAATTTTAAACTCGGCGTCACCAAGAGGAGATGTACGGGCAAACTGTTTTATCTGGTTTCGAACAACATCGATACCGCGTTCATCGGAAGCATTGAGTTCTCGAAAATTCATGCTCCAGGTATCCCCGAACATTTCCCGTGCCAATGCAACAGCACAGGTTGTTTTCCCGATACCTGCCGAACCAGTAAACAGGAGATGCGGCCAAATTTTTGGTGGATGCATACAATTTGAGACGACTGACGATTTCCGCTTGCCCGACAACATCGTCCAGCGTCCGTGGGACGGTATTTTTCTATCCAAATATCTGGAGATGATTCATGCTTTATTCATTGGTTGTCAGAATAAATAAAATGATATTTTTATTGGGAATGAATAGGAAAAAAAAAAAGGGTTATGAATCTCCCCATTTTTGCAAGGGCTTTTGCGAGTTCTTCATGTGTTTCTGCATATTCCCCTTGCAGAAATCCCGGATACCTCCGCTTCTGCCGCCTGAACAAACGCTCGTGCTCCGGCTGCGGTTCCATCCGGATGTCCGTGAATTCCGCCACCGGCCTGCAGTACAATGTCGGTTCCGAGTCTTGCAATTTCCGCATGGGCTTTTCCCGGATGAAGACCCCCAGAAGCTACCGGAAATACCGGATTAATGCCGGGGATTTCACGGGTAATTTCACGGTTATCCGCCACCACTTCTTCGGCTTTTCCTCCCATTTTTCCCGATACGGTTCCCGTATGCAGCTGATCACCACCGGCAGAACGAACCAGGGTTGCTATCGGTCGCATCGCGATTCCATGATATGGATTTCGGGGTAAGTGCACCATGCATGGTTCGATGAACATGAATCGGTACCGTAATAAACGGATCTTCTGCGAGTGCCTGAATCGCGGAAAAACCGGCCGTTAAAACATCTACCATAAGCATATTTGCTCCCGCCTTTACGGCTGCATGCGCAGTTTTCGACTATTCGGTCGCCGCCGGTCGTAACATTTACCGCATAGAGAACCTGTTTTCCCGTCTCATCCCGCGCACGGTCAAGAGCATCCATAACCCGTTCTAGCCGTTCAATGAGCGGACAGAATGTCTGATTAGTTAAGGTTTTCATCATCCTTAATGAGATCAAGACCGCCGATTGCCGCCTGATAAGCGACATCTGCGGTATCTTTGGGGTTTAATCCTACTTTCGGTTTAATTATTGTTCCAACATGAGGACGACGTGAGACTTCAGTCCCTACCAGTTTTCGAAATCCCTTCTATCCCGAACTTCGGTCCACATCCCATGAGTTCTTTTGGCATGTCAATTTCGGTAAGACGTACCCGTTTCAAGTTTACCCAACCCGAACAAATTTCCAGCAATAACCGACAGATACTGTGGAATGTTTTCCCGGTTTCAAATATCTCGCGAGGATACTGTATTTTCGTAATAAACCCCCCGCTGTCAGCCCGGTACCGTTTCAAGGATTTCACCGTCAAGGGCATGAACATAGGCGGTTTTTTCATTCACGGTTGACAGATTCGTCCAGGTTCCTGTTGTCTGTTCTTCACGGATTGCCTCTGCGGCACTCTCTGCTGATATCCTGTTTCGGGGACGATAATAATACGTAGCAATTAAATCGTTCATAATGCGGATGCCTCCCATCCCAAATATTCTTTGATAATAAAATAGGCAAGCTGCGGTGAAATTGCCCCTTCTTCTGTTGCAATTAAATCAATGTACGATGCCGGAGTTACATCGAATACCGGATTTCGGATAGTGACATACGGCAAATCCTTTGCCATTTCATCCGGCAAAATTTCTGACGGAAGTCGTTCTTCAATCATGATTTTTGCGCCGGTCATCGTCCTGCGGAGCAAACTTAATGTTTCCGCTGCCACAATGACATTTTTACGGGCAAGATGTGCTGCTTCTGCAATCTGTGACGTTCCGATTTTATTAATTACCGCACCATTGGAAGTGATTGCATCAGCTCCGACAATAACCAGATTTACTGCGGCATAAAATATCGCACCGCGGAATCAACAATATAGGTCGTTGGAATCTGATGATCATTTAAGGTTTTAATCGTCAATCGTCCCTGATTCCACGGACGAACTTCAGTTGCAATAACCTTTATCTTTTTTCCCTGTTCCTTGGCACGAATAATTCCGGCAAGCGCCGCTTTCGAATTACAGTGTGTCATAACAGTATCTCCATCATTAATGCGTGCCGCACAGATTTCAGCAATCGTATTCAGTGCCGATTCAGCCTTCGCAATAAACGCATCTGCCCGAGATATAATATCTTCAACCGCCTCACCCGTTGATTTTGCCGATGCTAGTCCGCGAAGCGTCAACCGAACCGCATTTGGCAAAGAGACAGCGGTAGGGTCGGGGTTGAAATCAGTTCATCCGCTCCCTGATGCATTTTTGCGGTAAAGGTAGGCAAATCAAGATCAATATGTTCAAGAGCATGTTCACGGCAATGCTGCTGAGGCCGACCGTGCAATTTTACCGGCACCCCTGATTTCCATACTTTTAATTTTATCTGCAGTCTCATGTAATGACATTAGTGTCTCCCTTCCACCCGATATCAATCGTTTTGTTTTCCTTTAGGATGATGTGTTACAGGCTTGGGGTAATAGATACATATGTATCAGGTATTTTATATAGATGGCGAATGGAGAAGTCAAACAGAATAAAAGGTATTATAGGTTTCCTGAACATAGATATAAACCATAGAGAGATTTATGAAAGAATATACCGAACCATTCAATTGTCTAGTATGCAAAGCTCCGCTTAAATACCACATATCAACACATCCAATGACATGCCTGATTTGCGGCCGTCAATTTGAAAGTACCGTTCAGTGTATAAACGGACACTATATCTGTGGGACGAATGTCATGCATATCCGTCCTATGCCGTAATTAAATACCAGTGTCTGAAAAGCCGTTCACGCAATCCAATTGAACTTATCAATCAGATAATGAACCTCCCCGAAATCCACATGCATGGTCCAGAACATCATGTCCTGGTTGGTTCCGTGCTGCTTACCGCATATAAAAACAGTGGAGGAGACGTTAACCTTGCATGCGGCCTGGATGCTGTTCAGATACGCGGTTCAAAAATACCGGGAGGAACCTGCGGACTGGCTGGATGCTGTGGTTCAGCCGTATCAACAGGGATATTTCTTTCCATTGTCCTAGGAACAAATCCCCTCTCGGAAACCGAATGGAGACTTGGCATGCAACTGACATCTTCCTGCCTTTCAGAGATAGCAAACCAGGGAGGTCCACGATGCTGTAAACGGGATTCCTATATTTCAATCATAACGGCTGTCGCATTCATAAAAAAACATCTAGATATTGCAATGGATCTCCCGGAAAAGATATCATGTACCTATTCACCTCGCAACCGTGAATGCCGACATGAACACTGTCCGTTTTTCGGATAATCAGACATTGAAAATGAAAACCCTTGAAACTAAATACGGTATACCTCAACACTTCTCCACACGATCTAAAAACACCAAATTTTCAAAAACAAGACCCACGAAATACCATCCGTTTAGTCAATTCAAAGGAATTATTGACGAAAAATATGCGGATTCGGACTATTCCGTGGAGAAGATGTAAAACATCAAGACATGACAAAAAAATACTTTTTGTCATCAAAATGCGCCATCTAAACACCAGAACTCGCTAAGTAAACCCCCTCATATTTCCGGAAAATACGTCCTTTTCGATACGCTCATAAGGAATACCTACCTAATACAATTATCATGAAAAATCTCGTAGTTAAGGGAGGCGAGACAGCATAATTTACGCAATATATCTGTTACTATTCCTCGTGATAAATTAACCGGTCATTACCGGTGTTTCCGGGTCAGGCAAATCAACACTTGCATTTGATACCATCTATGCAGAAGGTCAGCGACGGTATGTTGAATCCTTATCAGCATATGCCCGCCAGTTCCTCGGACAGATGCGAAAACCGGATGTCGATTCCATTGATGGATTATCTCCGTCGATATCAATCGAACAGAAAACAACCTCAAAAAATCCACGGTCAACCGTAGGAACCGTAACTGAAAATCTATGATTATCTTCGTCTGTTGTTTGCCCGTATCGGAAACCCATACTGTCCGAAACATCAGGTTAAAAATTGAAGCACGGTCACCTGCACAGATAGCAGCCTCAATTCATGCATGATTTTTCCGGAACCGTTACGATATTGGCGCCGATTATTCGCAAGAAGAAAAAGGGAACATATGAACAGTTATTTAAGGAACTGAATGCCGACGGGTTTATTCGTGTCAGAGTTGACGGTCAGATTTACCGTACTGACGATGAAATCAAACTCGGAAGGTACATCATGCATAATATCGATATTATCATTGACCGCTGTAAAACAACCGATGCCTCACGGATTAACGAAGCTGTTGAAAAGGCATTGAAACATGCTGAATCTGGACTTGTCTATGTTTCTTCAGGTCGATGACGATACAAAAGATACCATCTATTCTGCCAAACTTGCCTGTCCTATCTGCGGTATGTCATTTGAAGAATTGCAACCACGAATGTTTTCATTCAACAGTCCATTTGTGTGCATGTCCAACCTGTAACGGTCTTGGATTCCAGATGATATTTGATCCGGATCTCATTATTCCAGACAAAAGTCTTTTCAATTGCCGACGGAGCCGTTGCCACCCTATAAAAATTTCCTTGACGGGTTCCGTGTCCAGTATCTGAAAGCCGTCGGAGAATATCTTGGATTTTCCATGACGACACCGATCTCTGAACTTACCGATGAACAGTATGCCGGTCTGATGTATGGAACAGAAGATGCAAAAATTCAGTTCAAACAGAGTTCACGCAATGCCGATTTCTTGTATCATGGAACCTGGGAAGGCCTCTTGCCGCAGGTGAAACGCCTTTATGGAGAAACCAAATCCGAACACCGAAAAACCGAACTTGAAAAGTTCATGCGGATTTTACCCTGTCCAACCTGTCACGGCAAACGGTTAAAAGAATCGGTACTTGCAGTTAAAATTGCCGATAAATCCATTGCAGATGTGACGGATTTGTCAATCGACGACGCGCTGATATTTTTTGATCATCTTACTCTGTCAAAAAAGGAAGAAGATATTGCCCGTCTGATTCTCCGTGAAATTCATTCACGACTCGTATTTTTACAGGAAGTGGGGATTGGGATACCTGACGCTTTCACGCAGTGCAGGTTCATTATCTGGCGGCGAAGCACAGCGTATCCGGCTTGCTACCCAGATAGGATCGAATCTGATGGGTGTATTATATATTCTGGATGAACCGTCCATTGGTTTGCATCAGCGTGACAATCAGAAACTGATAGCAACCCTCAAGGCATCTTCGTGATATCGGAAATACGGTTATTGTGGTTGAACATGATGAGGAAACGATTCGGTGCTGCCGATTACGTTATTGATATTGGACCGGGAGCGGGAATTTACGGCGGAACGGTGACGGCAGAAGGTACGCCGGGAAACCATTACCTCCAATTTCCGATTCACTTACCGGTCAGTATCTCTCAGGAAAACTCTCGATTCCGGGTACCGGATACACGACGAACCAGTGATAAATTCCTGACCATTACCGGGTGTAAGGAAAATAATCTGAAGAATGTGACAATATCAATACCGCTTGGAACGTTTACCGTTGTTACCGGTGTTTCCGGGTCAGGGAAAATCAACACTGCTGTTTGATACCCTTTATCAGGCTCTGCGTGTCAAACTCATGAATGCACAGGTCACGCCGGAGAAAATACAAGACCCTTACCTTCGATGAACCGATAGAAAAATGTCATTGTCATTGATCAGTCCCCGATTGGCCGAACCCCACGATCGAATCCGGCAACTTATACCAAGGTATTTGACGATATCAGAAAAGTCTTCGCCGAAACGACGGAAGCAAAGATTCGCGGATATGATCCCGGGAGAATTCTCGTTTAATGTCAAAGGTGGACGCTGTGAAGCCTGTTCCGGCGACGGCGTCATGAAAATTGAAATGAACTTTTTGCCGGATGTCTTTGTGGAATGTGAAGAATGTAAAGGTACCCGATACAATGCGGAAACGCTTGAAGTTAAATATAAAGGAAAATCCATTTCAGATGTCTTGAACATGAGTGTCGATGAAGCGTTGGATCTCTTTAAGGCACACAGTGGCATAATGACAAAACTTCAGACCCTTGCCGATGTCGGACTGGGATATATAAAAACTCGGTCAGAGTTCAACCACTCTATCCGGCGGGGAAGCTCAGCGTATTAAACTTACCCGTGAACTTGCCAAACGGTCAGGTGGTAAAACCGTGTATATTCTCGATGAACCAACAACCGGTCTGCATTTCCATGATGTGAAGAAGTTAATCGGCGTTCTTGAACGTCTTGTTGATGCCGGAAACACCGTAATTGTTATTGAACATAACCTTGATGTCATTAAATGTGCCGACTATATCATCGATTTGGGACCGGAAGGCGGGACAGCGGGAGGAACCATAATTGCCAAAGGAACTCCGGAAGAGGTTTCCAAAGTCAAAAAAAGTTATACCGGTCAGTTTCTTGTTCCGCTCCTAAAGACATAACCCAACATGTTTTTTTTTGGGTTCTTCATCTCTTTTTTTAGGAAATAACGTCATGAAACTGAATTGTAGTATCCCATAATAATTTCCCTCAAGACAAATCTGTATACATGGGAAAGTTGAGAGACCGTGATATGCGTAATATTATCCGGAATCGGAAGCAGAAAAAGAAATCTGTAGCTTGGCTTGCAGAATATTATGGCGTTACCAAACGTAGAATCAGACAAATTCTTGCTTATGAAGAAAAATATGGTGCTGCACCTATAGTTCATAATAAAGGAAGAAAAATGAAGAAGATCACTGAAAAAGAGGAAGAACTCATTGTCAGTTACTATCTTTTAACACGATTGTCTCCTGTTTACCTAGAACGTGTTATTGAAAAGAAGGAAGGTCTCCATATCCCGCACAATCGAATTTATCAAGTTCTTTCAGCGAAAGGATATTCCAGTCCCAATTCTCGAAAACAAAAGCAACGGAAATATCATAGATATGAACGAAATCACTCCATGTCACTATGGCATGGAGATTGGAAACAGATACATCTCCAGGATAAAAACTATTTGGATGATTATTGCCTTTGTTGATGATAGTTCACGTCTCATTACCTGTTCTGGTCTCTATGAGAATGCAACCGCCGCAAACACCATTGATACACTTAAGAAAGGGTTCGAAGAATATGGTATTCCGGATGCAATTTTAATCGATAATGGAACTCAATTTTTTTGCTGTGAATTCCAACTCCCCTGAAACCCATGAATTTGCCGTATTTCTTAAAGATAATAACGTACAGCATATTCGTTCACGACCCAGTCACCCACAGACAAATGGCAAAATTGAACGGATGTTTGAAGAGATTGAACGAAGAATGGGGGACACAATTTAACAACATAGAAGAATATGAAATTTGGCAAAACCAAATTAAACCGCATAGGAGTTTGGGATTCATGTATCCAATAGATATCTTCTATCAGAAACTTCGTCCAGAGAATATATTTTGGATGATTCGGAGATGGTTTTTCACCCCTCTGGAGGGTGGGGCGTTGACCCCTCAAGCGAAAAAGGGGAAATAATATCGGGATACAACAGTACGTGAAGTCATCTTTATTTTGATAATGCATATTAAGAGGGACTATCATATTTGTTCTTATGGAGATTCACGGAGTCATCACTTCTGCTTATCTTCTTGTCGATTTTTATCTGCATAATGATGATTGCCGCAGTCATTTTCAAGCCGAAACTTACGGGTAAAAAACATTACGATGGATACCTACTGGATAATTTGCACTCATCGGAGTGCCATCGTACTTCTGATTTTTGGATTCATCACCCCCCCAATCACTGCTTGACGGATTAACCGCGGAAACAGCAGTAAATCCTCTAAAAATTCTCGTTCTGTTTCTTTCCATGACCTTTTTGTCTCTCTATCTGGATGAACTTGGTTTTTTTTCGGGTACCTGGCAGGAGAAAAACACTGAAATGGGCCCATGATTCCCAGTATCGGATGTTTTTTTGCATTTTATACGATAATTTCGAGTATTAACAATATTTACCTCAAATGATGTCATTATTTTAACATTTACCCCGTTTATATGCTATTTCGCCAAATATGCCGGAGTCAATCCCCATACCATATTTAGTCACTGAATTTGTTGCCGCAAATACCTGGAGCATGGTCCTTCTTATCGGCAATCCAACGAATATTTATCTGGCATCTTCATTCAATATTGGATTTATGGAATATCTATCAGTAATGATTATCCCGGCAATCGGGGGGGGCGATGCTTGGATTACTGATACTGTTTTTGCTGTTTCACTCTCATCTTAAATCACCGCTTACTCAAAATCCAGTTGATATTTTCGTTCTTTCTGATAAAATTGCAGTCACTATCGGCATCATCCACCTTACAGCATGTGTTGTAGCTGCTTGCTGCATCATCATATCTTGGAATTGAAATGTGGGGCGGTTTCCTTAGGATGTGCATGCAGTCTTGCAGTATGTACTTTCATTCGTTCACTGTTTCAGAATCGTTTACCAAAAGAGCTGGGACATGCCGTAAAACGGGTTCCCTGGTCCTTTATTCCCTTTATTCTTGCAATGTTTACCATTGTTCTCTCACTATCACAGGCAAACATTACTGCAGGAATTGCAGAGACATTCAATGGAGGAAATCCGGTGTTTACCTACGGAATATCGTCATGTCTTGCTGCCAACATGGTCAATAATATTCCAATGAGTGTTCTGTTTTCAGGGATATTAAGCAGCACACCGATATCATCCGATTTTGCCGAAGCTCTATGCTGCGATAATCGGGTCCAATATCGGCGCGTTTGTAACCCCAATTGGCGCTCTTGCCGGGTATAATGTGGATAAATATTTTACGGAGTAAAGGAATTCCCTTTTCATTTATACAGTTTATAAAATACGGAACAATAGTTGCCTTACCCGTTACTTATGACTACCTTGGGGCTTCTCGTACTTGTTCTTGATTAAGTCAATACAAAAATAGAGAGAGATTAAAATATTTTAAGAATAACTCGAACAACAAATATTATTATAAGAAAGGGTGCATCCAGCAAGAATTAAAAACCACATTCGCATGGAAGAAAGGGATTTGAATTATATGCATCCGCCCATTGTTTTCATATCATAATGAAACTTTTCACGTTTACTTGGCATTATTTTATATATATCTCATTGATTCTATTTAAACCATAGCACAAACATGAAACCGAAGGAACTTTTTAATTACGTCACAACAAGTCCAATTTAGTCATTTGAACAAAAATGACTAAATTAAACTAGATATTGATGAAGTTGGAGCATATAATACAATTAAGTCATTATGCATAAAAATGACGAAGTTGATTTATAAATGAGGTAATTGAAAATGAGAAAATTTGATTACACGGACAAATGGAAAAAACTGCTTACCTAGGAAATTGTTGACTATCTTACAAAAATTCATGAATACAACAAAACAAAAAATAATTAAAATAGTATTTAGTTAGTGCAAACCAATTATGTTATAATTCACTATTATAGGCCGAACTATACATTGTACCATAATTAGGAAGGATGTGTAAATAGATGAGAGAACAAAGAGCAAATTATGATTTTACAGGAAAAATTGGATTAATTGATGCTGATTTGCTAGATAACGGAACAAGACACCCCAAATTTGGTAATTATGAAACTAAATGGATATTTCAAAGAAAAGGGTTGAGTACTCTGCGTTGATACCACTGCTTATCTCTCTCAACAACAACATACGGAGGAGGGA